CAAATGTGAGAACCACATTATTTATTTATGTATTTTATCTCTACAATATATTTCTATCTATACTACAGTATAGAAAATTGTTAAGAGAACCCATAAAACATATGCAAGAAATCCTTAAGATTCCAATTGAATTTACAACACAAAATAAAAAATTCACAGTTTGTTAAAATGAGTGATAATAGGATTTAAGAAAGGTGTGAATAAGAAATGATTCAGTTTTAATGTAATTATAACAAAACTGTGCAAATAAAAAAGCAGTTGGGAGGCAGAAACGGTTTCTAACCACTAAATATTAATAAACTAATAAAAAACTTTGTGTCCACAATGATCCAAGATGGTCTCGAGATCTGTAGGCCGGGGTGAGGCATTTCAAAGTGGAAACATGGACTCTCAGATCTAAAATCCAGATCCTTTAGGGGAAAAACGAGCCCAGTCTGTTCTACAACTGAGAGGAAAAAAATCCCCCAGTTTGCCATCAGCAACACGTCCAAACGCGAGGATCTGTGATAATATGAAGCTGTATCATTATCAGCTGAATGGCTGCGAATAGATATACATTTTCTACGTGTGAATATGTCAAACATGGTGTAAAAGAACTCGAGAGAGAAAACAGAAACGGAAGTCAAACAAAAGGAAAAACAGAACAATGGCAGAATTCAGAGGTGTGACAGTTGATGAAACAAGAAGAAAATAAAAGCATCAGAGTAGAAAAAAGAGAAAAGAGTGAGGTGAAGACTTTAAAAGGGAATAGGACTCTTTTAATCGACTGGTCTCTCCCCCGCAGCCTCAGGCTAGCCTCCAGCACTCCCTTTCTTCCTATCTCTATACCCATTCTCCTTCTCCGCCCTTCATTAGTGAACAATCAGCAAGTGCATTGCTTAAAATGGAAGGAGAGAGATGGAAAGGTTTGTCCGATGTCATCTCAGCCTTATATTTGCCTTAGTCACAACCAGACTCTACTTCTTTTTCATCCATCTTTAGAAAGTCCCTGTCATCGCTGCTTCAGAGACGCCCGTCCTTCAGCACGTCACCTCAAAGTTTTAAACATTTGCATCTGCAGGGGAAAAAGAGAAGGCTGGCCATTCTTTATCGCTGCTTAATACAAACTGTTATTATTTATGCTGTAAGGCATTAATCTCATTACGTACTTAAAACAAATGTGGTTAAACTGGAAGTTAGTTTAGAAGAGACTGATCATCACGGGGCACACTTTTACTTCAGTTCTGCTTCAGTTATTTACAGACGTGGACAAAGTTGTTGCTACTCTTCAGTCAACGAAAGAAAAACCCACAATGGTCACAGAAATAACTTCATAAGAAATTTAACCAATGAAAGTCAGACATTGCTTTTCAACCATGTTTAAAAAACGAACTTCTGGAACTGGCCTGGATAAAAATGATGGTACCCATAAGTTAATATTTAGTTGCACAACCTTTTGAGGCAATCACTACAATCAAACGATTCCTGTAACTGTCAATGAGACTTCTGCAGCTCCCAGCGGGTATTTTGGCCCACTCCTCAAGAGCAACCCGCTCCAGTTGTCTCAGGTTTGAAGGACGTTTTTTCGAGACGAGATGTTTCAATATAATTGAGGTCAGGGCTCATAGAAGGTCACTTTAGAATGGCCCGATGTTGTCCTCGTAGCCATCCTTGGGTGTTTCTAGTTTCTGAATAATATAGGCAGCTGTAGTCGCAGGAACATCTAGCTGCTTGAAGATGGTCTAACGGCCTTTACCTTTAACACGCATGTCTATCTTTTTTTTTCTAACCTCCTGAGACAACACTTACCTTTGCAGCATCTGGTTCACATTGAGTGTGCTACACACCACGTCACCAAACAACACAGTGACTACCTGGAGTCCTGTATATTGGCCCACTGACTGATGACACGATTGAACACACCTGTGATGCTGATTAGTGGACGCACCTTGAATTAACACGCCCCTTTGGTCCCATTATTTTCAGTCTTTTAAAGGGCTAGCTTCATTTTTGTCCAGGCCTGTTCCATCAGTTTGGTTGAAAAGTAATGTCTGAGGTAAAGAGGGGTAAATATATTGCTTTAAAGCTTATTATATTGCCTTTACTTATGACCAATAAGATGTGATATTCTATATAAATATAGGACATCAACCTGATTGATTTTTGAATGTTTAATCAGAAGAATTAGCATTCTTTGCTTTTTCAGTGATCATAACACACTTCGTATTAATTCAGACAGTCAAGTTTATAAAATGTAAGAAATGTTTTTTCTAAACAAATTAAAAACAAGACAACTAGGAAACAACTTTATGTGATGGATGAATCTATGTGGACGGAATGTGTGAATGTGATGTTATCAGAACCCTCATATCTAAAAGGAACAGCGCATTCTGAGTGTGAAAGAATTTGTGGTTGTTATAAGCTAAAGAGTTGAATTATCAAAACGGCATCAGACGCAATCTTGTCGTGCCTACGTACCCACGTAGGAACCCCCGTGGTAGATCCAGAATGTCGAGAATCTGTGTGGACCCCCAGGTACCGAAGTCTGCAGGATCAACCGCAGTACCACTTGACCGGTCTTGAGTTGTTCCCAGGTCACAACAGCGTGAAGGTTGGTTGTGCCTAAGACGGATGGACTCTGAAGGAGTCTTGGCTGTGTCAGCTTTAATCTGAAGGAGCAGGTTTCTGTGTCGCTGCAGCGTGCAACAGGTTTTGACAGCTTGTCAAGAGATGCGGTGGTTAGAGAGTTTTCCTCCGGTGGCCAGTCCGGAGTTCGGCTCAAAAACGTAACTGAATGAAGGGTCAATCTAAGAACCCTAAGAAGACGTTATACAAATGCAGGGCATTTACCATCTACCAACCTGCTGGGTTCTTTATACTATAGGAAACTTTTTACTGATTGGCTTAATGAACTGACCTGTACTGGAATAATTACGATGTGAAGTGCCTTGAGACGACTCTTGTCGTGATTTTGAATAAAACACAACCAGTTGGAAACCACCCAGTTGCTGCTCTAGACTTCACCCTAAAACGATGTATTGCAAAGCTATTGAACAATGGGGTGGAGGTATTTTTAACCTTTAGTGTTGTTGAATTACGTAGACCACGGTATATTACGACACGTGTTTTTTGGACACGTGGTGAAAACCAGGTCCTTGTTTGTGTCCATAAACAGAACCCCGATCCATGCCTAGTTTTAGGTGTGTGTCATTCTTCTGTGTTCATGTCCCATAGTTTACAACTTTTGTCACCATGTTGTCTTCAGCTACTGAATGGTGTCTGTTTTTATTTGTTTTTAGTGTTGAATCAGTTTATTTTAGTTTATAACACAACCATCAAACACCAGAAGGACACATCTAAACACAGAGGTCTCAGTTTGTTGCAAATAGGCGCAGAATAAAAAATCAGAGCTCAGTATTGATGTCATTTATCTGATCTGTTTCATAAGGAGTGAATTCCAGTGGCATTAATGAGTTTTGAGGCAAAAGCGGTCTAAAGTACGTCCCTGGATGTAGAAGGTGTTGAATGTCATCTGTGTGTGAACATGCAGCAAGACAGAGCTGAAGTTCTGTGAACAGGCAGGGCTGTGATACTTATGTAAATGTGCACCCACATCTGTGTGTGTGTGTGTGTGTGTGTGTGTGTGTGTGTGTGTGTGTGTGTGTGTGTGTGTGTGTGTGTGTGTGTGTGTGTGTGTGTGTGTGTGTGTGTGTGTGTGTGTGTGTGTGTGTGCATTGTGTCGTTATTTACTCTGCTGTACAAACAAAGCAAGGTCGCATTCAAGGTGACATGATCTCACCATTTCTACCTTAATATGCAAACAAGTTATCCCCCCCCCCCCCCCCCCCCCATGAATAGGGGAAGAGAAGGAATGTGCACCAGCTGTCCAACCAAAGTCAATTACCGCAGCCCTGGGGATGTCGTCTTAAACAATGCTATTAGATTCTAATAGTTTTTAATTACTGGCCTTCGTTTTATATAAATCAGCCCTGCTTTCTCTCTTTCGACTCCGACATGGAAAGCCTATTTGTGTCCATAATTAAATTGAGAAGCGGGATATGAATTTAGGGGCCTTCGCTCCTCATCTCTGACTGTTTCTGTTTGAGCGGCTCCTGATTAATGCCGATACATATTGCTTGAGATAACCATTTAGTGGTTAATTTAGCCAGATTTATTACTAGTGTGCCATCTCAGGGTGGAGCAGAGTTGAAACTACTTTTACAGGACTGTGCAGGCCCTGCCGCAGGGACACAGCACCATCTGCTGGTGAGGAGACGCCACTGCTGCTGCTTTAGTTACGATACATGAATTGCAGCAGGGGAACGCTTGCATTGCCTGTTCCATTTATTCAGGCTTTTGTAGCATCAGTGACATATTTCTAATGCAAGGTAATAAGGCCATTTTTAAAGGTGGCTTTGTTTGGAATGAGGGATGTTTTATTATTTCAGTGAAGGCAAGTAAAGTAAAGCTGGACCATGTTATGGTGGTTAGACAGCTGCTTTGGGGAGATGCTGCTGGTCTGTGCAGATCAAACTAAACACTGAATCGGTTGAAGGTTCTGGGCATCCCAGATGCATGCAGAGGCAGCTGTCCAGTCCAGGTCATGTTGGTCAGTCACCATGGAACGGTAACATGGAAAGAAGCATCATGCTCTTCACTGTTGTGTGTGTGGGACTGGGTAGCTGCTGCTGAGCAGGTCATCTACACTGAAACACCAACACACACATGGTCCGAGAGGGCCAGCTCACAGCACAGTGCATAGGAGAGGTCATGGGTTAGGGTTATGGGTTATGACATCTGATGATGATGATTCTTTCTTTCCTCTCCCTTTGTCCAACACTCCTGCTCTTCATCCAAGGTTTCTCTAATGTCCATCTTAGGAAAGTGCCCAGTCAGCCCTTTGTGTCATTCCTTGGACGCTCTATGTAGAGTTTGAATATAACATATATACTTAATGTTACACATGTCTGTGATTTGCATGAAATCACTAAATCTGTGGCTGTTTCCACCCTGTCTTTCAGTGATGAATAAAGGTCAGTGTGTCACTAAGTATTACCGGTGGATCCAGAAGAACAGTGGTTACATTTGGATCCAGTCCAGTGCCACCATTGCTGTTAACGCCAAGAATTCCAGTGAGAAGAACGTCATCTGGGTCAACTATGTCCTCAGGTCAGACAGAATCCCTCTTTAGAGGATTTTCACTCATTCATTTTAAATTAAAAGTATGCATTCACCAAGTAGCTGACTCCTATCATTATGAGTGTGCAGGTGTCTAGAACATCTGCACACACTCATTCTTTCCTCTTTCTTTAAAATTAGATTATGAATCATTTCAGCTGATTTATTTCCATTCCTGCTGTTTTCTGTATTCACCACAGTAATCCTGAATATAAGGACATGCCGATTGACATCACCCAACTGCCAAACCTGCCAGAGAAAACGTCCGAGTCCTCCGAGACCTCAGAGTCTGAGTCTGAGTCCAAAGAAGCCTCAGGTATGTTGAGAAAAAAAATAAGAAGAGTATATCGTTTTTAAAAGAAAGAAAAACAAGAACTGGGGGAAGTTAAGAACTTTAAAGTACTTCACTGAAAATGACTTTTAATAATTATATCCGATTCTAATCAGTCACTGTTTCATGCAGGCTGAACAGGAAAATAGTCTCCTACACCTATCTCGTGCATTAGCTTCTGATAGAAACCAGACGGTGAAACTCTAGATTTAGAAAATCCTGACAGATCTACATCACCCTGTCACTTAACATTCATGGACTCACCCATCTGGACTCACGACGGGGAAGGCTGTTGTTGGTTTAGCGTCCAGGAAACAGCAGAGAACGTCTCAGCTAGTAGAAGCTAACTGTTAGCATTAGCAACTCCACCACACAGCAGAACTCCTCCAGGCTTGTGTTATTTGTGGAGATGAAACATCAACGTTGCAGAGCAGAGTCAGTGGTAGAGTCCTGTTGCTGTTAGCCAATCAGAGGAGAGATTTATCGGGACATAAGACTCCAGATCCTGTCGTGTGAAGCTCACATCTGATGTGGCTCACGTCTAGTTGTTGAAGCTGGTGCACCACAGCTTTGTGTAAGTCTGCTGTGTGTTTTCTAACACCGGCTTTAATTATAATAGTAAAGTAATCAGTTGTGAGAAGAAAACTGAAAGATTTTTTGTTTTCCATCAGTTGGTGCCAGTTTGTGGTTTGTGCCAGGCTGGACGCTCATGAATGCCAACAGCTGCAGGGACTGGTCGTTCTCCAGCCAGGCAGCCTGCTGCCACAAAATGACAAGATGATGAAATACGCTAGAACTACACAATCGTGCAAAACACATGAAGATCAAAATCATGGTGTCCAACAGAGGATCTTCTAGAAACATTGCATTAAATCAAAAACTGTATAACATGAAATAATAACCCATCAAGAGGCCTGGATTCAGCATCTTTCTATCCTGCTACTTCCATGGCCTCACCACCACACAGTCCGACTGGCTGCTACCATGGATCAAATGTACAAGTCCTAAAATAGAGGCAAATATATGAATATAATAAGAAAATGCATGTGGTAAGGATGGTTAATGGAGGGAAGGCTTCTTCAGAGACAACATTTAAACTGAGAATGATACTTGAGTATAAAAATAAAAAGTATAAAATCCAGCACGTTCCTGAAGATGCTCTCCACCACTCAAAGCAGGTGGTGCTTTCTTTATCATCAGTCTGCAAACATGGTCCGGTATTTCAAAATGAGGAATGGGAGCAGATTTCAGAGGCAGATCATGTGACACTTCTGCAGATAGTTAAGCCAATCAGATGGCGTTTAAATAACTGATGGACCCAACATCCGATACTTCTGGAGTTTGTAATCTTGTTTTACAATTGATCAAAAACAAGAAGCATGATCACAACATTGTCTCACTTGATGCCTTTTCTTACGTGAACTCGGTGTTGGGATCATACGGTAGCTAAAGCATGAGACAATCACAGAAATATCCTAAAACACGTGAAGTAAACCTACAGAGATACCCAGGTCCTTAAAGAAATCTGATTTACAGATAAGCAATGCCAAACTCAGAGAAACGCTAAAGACACCAAACTATTTTATGCATCATAGCTGCAGCCAGTGCTGACTGGTTCAGGCACTATAACTGAATTTAGACCCAGACAGGGCCTTCACCTTGAGCATAACATTATCAAGTCCCACAGCTCGTGCTGGCATGATGAGACTCGGTGCCAGCTGGTAATTTTGCTGGAGGGTACTAATTCTTGCACTCTGTCGGCTGGAAACTGCTGCCAGCTGTAGCAGGAGGCGGCCAGCGTCCGCCAGTGTCCAACAGGCTCAAGGTGCTCTAACTCAACTTGTTCTAAAATGAGACAGCTGCCCTTTGACCCCTTTTCACCTCGAAGGTAATCTATCTAGGAAAATATATCGGATTTGTTTGTTTTAGCCATTGCTGCATAATAACTGACATTACATTACTTTAAACGGTGAATTCGACCCATTTGTACTCCCAGTTTGAAACTGTCCTTCCACAGATTTAGGTCTTTTTAAAACAAGGACATACAGTTCAACGTCAGATGGAATTTACTTTGAGTCTTTCGCATTATGCTTTTTTCCAAGTTTAAACCTTGGGTTAATAGTTTTTGTGGAATTATTGTTGATGTTTGGCTCGAGAAGCGCGTGTAATGAAGACACAAGCTTTCCTCCAGACAAAGGCAGCGAGCTGACGTTCCAGGTGCTATTAGGGGATTGAAACGCTGCCAGGTGGTCAGTCGCTATCCGGCGTGTGCTGGCAGAGTTTGATGGTGTGTGTGTGTGTGTGTGTGTGTGTGTGTGTGTGTGTGTGTGTGTGTGTGTGTGTGTGTGTGTGTGTGTGTGTGCGTGTGTGTGCGTGTGCGTGTGCGTGCGTGCGTGCGTGCGTGCGTGAGTGTGTGTGTGTGTGTGTGCGTGCGTGCGTGCGTGCGTGTGTGTGTGTGAGTGTGTGCGTGATTGGTTGGACAAAACCAACATACGTGAACAGCAACAGATACTAAACACTCATCAGGTCCACAAGCAGCACAAAATGTAAAAGGCAAAAGTGAGAATAGCAACGCCTGAGTTTGACTGCTCAGGTTTTCAAACTGGGCCCTCAGAGGTCATGATGGACATTCATCTCTCCACTTCACTTCTAGATCCAGATATCTTTCAAAAGACGGCAATGACTTCCCCTTGATTGCTACAAAAGAACTAGATCTCACTCGGTGAGATCGTCTCCATCAGACCTGGAAGCAGTAGTTTCTGAAATCCCTTTGGAAGCAGACACTTACCTGACAGCTGTCCACTTTGTTCTCAGAGGACAGAACTTTGATAGAAGCACAAGAATCTAGTTGCGCTGGAGTAGTTGGACACCTTTGCTTTTGCCCTGTTTCCTCTTATTCTTCTTTCTTTCATCCATGAAAAACTTTAAAACATGGACTGGCGGGTTTAGCTGCAGTTTTTGGAGGACTTGTCCTCATTTGTGGTAGAGCTACATAGACTTTGTGGTGAGTAGAGAGAAAAAGCCCCGGGACAGCACAAACAAAGCATGTCCATTCCAAAATAGTATCTAAAAATTATTGAATTGTGTGAAAAGTCTTGTTTAAATGTTTTGTCTTATGTTTTCTTTTTGATAGATAATGAAAATGCCAAGTCCGACGGGAAGTCCGGCCAGCAAATGGAACACAGTGAAGATCCAGACAGCAAACGTCAGCAGCAGCCTGGGCAGTTATTTTGCTCCTCTGAACCAGAACTGAAGCACCATGACGAAGGAGACAGTTCCAGTAATCCCGAGAGTCAGGACAGTGACGACAGTCTGGAGCCCTCCGATGGAGAACAGGAGCAGGAGGTGGACAGGGCCAGGGGAGAAGAGAGTGGAAGCAGGGTGGGAAGATTAGCTGGACTTGGAGGATTAGAGGGTCTGAATGCCATCAGTGGACTGGGAAATTTGGGTGGTCTTCATATTAAGGTGGAACACTATGGAGAAGGTGAAGAAATGCAACTGCACAACTCTCACACCTCCACCTCAGAGGAGGAGGAAGAGGAAGAGGGTGAAGATGATGAGGAGGATGAAGAAGATGGAGGAGTACAAAACTGTGACACTGGTAGTACGGGCAGCAAGCTCCAGAAGAGAAGGAAGAGGAGGAAAGTACAAAAGTGGGATGGATCACGAAGCAGAAAACCCCGTTTATCCACAACTCCAGCCAGCCCTGTAGCAATAGAAGACACCACGTTGCAAGTCACCCCCCCAGGGGCAGCACCTGTCACCTCTGCCAGTCTACTCGCCGCCTCTGGGTCCCCAAACAGCACAGGTGCCGCATCTTCAGTTCTTAAGATCAAGACGGAGATGGCAGAACCAATCAACTTCGACAACGATAGCAGCATTTGGAACTACCCTCCCAACAGAGAGATTTCCAGAAACGAGTCCCCTTATAGTATGACCTCCAAACCCCCGGCTTCTGGGAGTCATGAGTCTTTCCCCTCCCCTCAGGGAAGTTCTCTACATGTAGTCATTCCTGATTCCGTCCTCACCCCTCCTGGAATGGAGGGAGGAGCAGGAGGAGTGAGGAAACCTCCGTATGGCGGAAGTTCGGCACCGTCGTCTTCTTCCAGCACTACAAGTTTAGCTCCTCCTTCCAACACATCCTCTGCTGACCCCTTGTCTCCTCCCCTCTCTGCATCCCCACGGGACAAGCAACAAGTCACTCCCACCACCTCGTCTTCCTCTTCTTCTTCATCAACAAGCTCTTCCTCCTCGCTACTGTATTCTGGTGATCTTGAAGCGCTACAACGTTTGCAAGCTGGCAATGTGGTCCTCCCTCTGGTTCACCGAGTCACGGGGACTCTGGCTCCCACCAGCACGACAACTCCACGCGTCTACACGACAGGGACTATCAGGTATGCACCAGCAGATGTCACACTGGCCATGGCACAAGGGAACCTCCTTCCCAATGCTGCCATGAATTTTGTTGATAGCTCGGGGTTTGGCCTGGACCCTAAGACGCCCATGGAGATGCTGTACCATCATGTCCATAGGCTCAACATGACTGCTGCAGCAGCTGCTGGCCCGTTTGTCGGCTCTACGACACCCACAGGGGGTAACGGTACCTTAGGAGGCCAGATGCCAGGAGCAGCCAACGTTTTCACCACGGCCGAGGGACTCTTCACAACACTACCATTCCCGGTGTACAGCAATGGCATCCACTCTACACAGACGACTCTGGAAAGGAAGGAGGATTAATGCATTAGACAGCAAGACCGCATTACTGTGTTTTTCCCGAATCAACAACTGTGTTAATGTCTACTAGTCTAAAGACTCCTCAATAGTGAAAATAGTGAAAAAGAGTTTATGCTATCTTTATCAGCCTGGTCCAACACTGTGTTTTCCAAGATGGGAGAAAGGACAGGAAAGGACGAGAGATGTACTCTAGCACTTTGAATTAGAGCAGCTGAGCTTCTGTGAAAGACACGATAAACCCTCAAACATTCCTCTTTTTTCCTCTTTTTCATTCCTTCTTCTCAGCTTCTCTTAGCTTCTGTTTCTTGCCATCAACAACCTACTTGGCGTGAACAAGCAAACAAAAACAAAACAAAAAATCCAACCACTCGTTTTTGTTTTAATTGTCTTTTGCAGAGGATTCCGTTTGCCTACGGTGAATTCATGTTGCCTAAGAATTCCATTGAGCCCAAATGGGATCACCTTTTGATATATGACTTGTTTCTGTTGCGTCTTTATGGAGATGCTGAGTGTGTGTACTTTCAGGAGGCTGGCACAGGGACTTGTGACAGACAGAAAAACTTGTGCCTCTCCTTTTTCCTGACGGGATCAAAGCTTGAAATGAAAGTTTTTAATTCGAGAGGAAGCTACACTTTTATGACCGACAAGGGTCTCAGAGATAATCTTTTAGAGAAAAATGGTTTTTGAGAATGTTTCTTGATTGAGGGAAAATAAATCTTTTTTTTTCTTCCTTTTTATAAAATAATCTAGCTCAGAGTTAGCTTTCAAATCAAACATTAAGTGAAAAAAATAAAGCAATTTCAGCCGGGTAATGGCCTGTGAATAATCGAATGTTACTACAAGTTTCCTCTGTTATCAGAGGAGTTTACCTACAGGTCTCTCACCAACATAACCTCCTCTACATCCCTCATCTATGTCTGTTCTGTCTTACCTTTGTCCTGCTTACCTGACCTTTAGACTTTTTGTCCACACTTTAGCTGTCACTCCACAGACTCATGGTGCTAGGGACTGTCAGTAACCCAGATTCAGCTGGCTGATGCGGGTGCTGTAAAACAAAACCCCCAGCTTGTTGCTAGACTGATGATTGTTAATTATGTTTGTTTGATGATTTTTAAGTTTATTTTCTTTCTCATCTCCAGGAAACTCAGAATACAGCAACAACACCTCTGTTTCAGTCTAAATGTCCCTCTCCAGTTTGACCGAGCCATGGGGGGCGGCTGCAGCTACAATCCATTAATTACTTTGAATTTACTTTAAATTTACAAAAAAACTAAAATGGTTTCCTGTTATAATTTGTATATTTTTTTAAATCAGTCCCTTCTAACTCTCAGTGAGACTGAAGCTAAATAACTAGCATTGCTAACTTGATTAATGAATGTTAAAAAAGTCAACAGGCTCCTGTTTGACCACTGACTTCTTTTTGTATCACCGCTGTTTGTTTCCTCCTCCTCTTCCTCCTCTTCTTCCTGAACCAGAATCACCTCTGCAAGACTTTCCTCAACAATCCGCTCTCTTCCATCTCATCTCCAGAACCTGTGATTCAAAAGAAAACACACACATATCAACAAGGAGATTGTAATAAAGACATGCATTTTTCAATCAGTCTGACAAACAATCAATCTAATGACTACATTGAAGAAAAGTGACTTTTTTCCTGATGAAAAAGGAGAAAAGATTCCCTTCCTTTAAAAGTTCTGTCTTTGTCATTGCCCTTGTGTTTTTCTGCCTCTGTTGCCAAAAAAAGAAATGTTGTTCTAACAAGTTTGGTGTTTGAAGAGCACTGTGATTCTCGTTGACTTTGTGTTGGTCTTTCTCTACTTTTTTGGTGAAAGATCAAAAGAAAGTAATAATTTTAAATTATATTAATCTATCACAGCATCCATGTTTCTAAAGTTGACAGCCTCGTCTTCACCACCATGTCATCGTTATTACTCCATGTAATTAAGCCGTAAAATCGTGTTACCAACGTGTTTAGTGTCACTGGCTGTCAAAAAGTCTTTCATGGCAACTTCTCTGTGTGTGTGTGTGTGTGCGTGTGTGTGTTGACTATATGCAGTATATATTGAGCTACTGTAGCGTTTTTGTCTTTTGTCTTCTCTGTGCTCTATCTCTAGTGTGGAGAAGGAGAGGATGCAAAGTCGGGGGAGGGGTGATTTCTATAAAAAAGACGACCACTGACTCTGTGCCTCCTCCTTCTCTGTTTCCCTCTAGCTGCAGTCTTAGTGAAACCAATGGAGGTCGTGGAATTTCGTGTCCGGTGGTCTTTGCAAAAACTTAAACGATTAAAAAAGCAAACAAAAAATCTTTGTAAAGGCCACCATTTTTGCTGCTTCCTTTATGTCTTCGTAAAATCTGCATTTTTATTTTCTAATCCTTCTCTTTCACTCTACTGTTGCTTTTTGCTGTTGTGTAGTCTTATTCAAACCTCTTAATCTTGCTGTCTTTTCTCTCAGAGACGAAAAGGTTATTTATCTAGCTCAAAAGTTTATGGAGCCATTTTTTGCCTTCAGGGAATTCTGGGACTCAAAGTTTCCTGCTCTTGCATACAAATGTTTATGTAAACATTTACATTATATACATATGAAATATAATGGAAAAAAAGCCTAAAGGTGTACTTTTATGTACTTCTTGGAAAAACCATGAAAGCCAAGGTTGTGAAACATTTTCCCAGAGTTCCTTGGGGTTTCTCGTGTGCATTGGGTGTATTTCAATGGTTCCCACCAAACTTGTTGACTTATTGCGCAAATTTCTCTCATAGGGCAAAGTTAAACATGTGGTTCGAAGGAGAGAAAAAAATCGCAATAGTCTTTCAGACTGCTTAAATTAAAAAAACAATTTTAACAATTTCTAAAGAAATTAAAAGAAGAAAAAAATATTTCTCACAATAAATCTATTTTTATAGGTGTTTTGGAAAACTGAACTGCATGTTTAGTAACTTGGTCTAATGCGTTTCATGTGATCAATTCTTTGATTTTGTTTTCATTTTTCTTCCCAGCGGTTGTGTTTTTTTACAGTCTGTCAAACTTACGCGGGGCGAGACGAGGAGTAAAGTGAAGTGAGCCTCGGACGCCCTTACATCAGGAAAAACAAACTGTATCATCTGTGCTTTCTGTGGAGAATCATTGTCTTGAACTAAAGTGTTGAAAAAAGCAAAGAAGGATAAAAAATGTGATCGAGGTTGCTCGATCTGTCAGGTGATTGGTGGACTGTTCATGACTGAATGTCAGGATGTTTCTTCAGGAGCGTTCTGTGCTCCTCTGGAATTTAGCATTTTCTACCTTGATGAATTTGTTTGAAGGCAAGGCACAAACATAGAACAAGGTCCTGTTTGCTGAAGAAAAATGGCCAAAAGTGGAGATGGGAGGGTTGTGGTTGGACGAAAATCGGAAGAAACCAGGAAATACACCCACATGTAACTAAAACCAAACAGCCGGTTCAAGCTGTTTCAGTGTTTTTCTGTGTTTTATGTCGATCAATGAAAACTTTGCTGGTGATTTTAAAAACTTAAAAACCTTAATCACAGCTGCTGTCAAATACGTAGTGTTTTAAAAATTACAAATATTGAAAATCCACTTCATTTATCTGTGAAGAAACTGTGTCTGTGTTTTTAACTATTTCTTGTACAATTAAACAGATTCTTTTATGAGGAAATTGGTGCCAAGTAGCTGAGATACGGGAAAGAGGGAATCTCTTATTATCAGTGTTAACAGTGTTATAAAATTCTAAATACAAACAAATTAAAATATTAAAAAAGAGAAAACTATGGTACATTTCTATTGTTTTGTTTGACTTTGTTTCCCTCGCAGGAGAGTCAAAACCTCATGACTAACTGATGCTAACTGTGAGTGCCTGGCTTATTTTTATTCTATTTTGAAGAGACATCTGTTTGAGCTCATTTACCACAAATAACAATGCAAATCAAAATAAAAATTTTAAAAATGTGCATACATCGTTTTTTAAAAACAATGTTTCTTCATGAGTTTACTAAGTTACCATCACAGGAAATGTGACACGACTTTTTGTAATCCAGTTTTGGCCATCTTGCAGGTGCCATATTCATAATAAACAGTTCTCTCAAATTTGTTGGCAGATTGGATCCTTTTTTACTCCTGTTGGAGTCATTCAGTCATCCTAAAAAAAATCCTTATCCTTAAACTGCCAGAGACACACCCCCTAGTTTACATTAGCAGGATGTAGCCTGTTGAAGCCTGTGACATAACTTACTTGTTTTTTGCTAAATTTGTTAATATACCTGTCCTGGTGGAAAATGCTAAAAAAAAATGTGGAGATTCACTGGAGAACAGACTGATAAGCAGTTGAATGTACCAATGCACAATGAGGATACTAAAATATGATCCAATGGAGAAGGTGGTCAACGCTCTTAAAATGCAAAACACATGCACAAAAGTAACTTAGCATGAAAATTATTTCTTTTCATGACTCAAGTTGCTCAAAAATCAACAAATGCACCTGCATTGGTGGAGTAAGCCTTTGATGTGAATTCACATTATAAAATGTGTTTTATACATCTGGTGCATCATAACAAAATACAAGAAAGGAATGCTGAAAAAGGTGAACTGTTTCAAAATGTGAGTCATTAACTCCACATGGACTTTTAAATGTGAAACTACATTTGGTGCAAGAAAATGAATGATGAATGTAAAACTAAGAATTTTGAAATAACGTTTTAGTCAGTTGATATTATTTTCACAAACCATGGCCGTTTCTCAAAATTCAGGGATGCTAGTACATTCTTGTGTACTAAACAAATATGTTCTTGGCAAGGACACCAGATAAGTCTGTTCTACTGAGTATGGGAGGACTAAGGCGATATTTTGAACAGAGCCCACTCTGTTGCATCACAGTAATAAATGCTGCCTTTTGCTACCATTGAACAAATGACCTAATGTAAAAAATAAAAGCCTAGTTTGCTTCTTAAATAGCAAAATAACGAAAACATATTATTTGTATTATATTTGGTCTACTTTTGTTAAGGATCATATTAGGTCATCATGTCTCAAATTTCTTTGTGCAAATCTTAAAACACATACACACACATATCAGAATCAGAAAGAATTTTATTGCCAGCGATCCAGAGCATAGGAACTTGACTCCACAGAACAGCCTGACCAAGATTACACACACACATATAGGCAGGACAGATACAGGCAGACCACGAGAGCAGCCATAGCGGCGCTCACTTCAGTAGATGAAGAGGGGATTACATGAGGAGAGTTCAGGGAGGGAGAAAAAGGCATTAACAGAGCTACACCGGCAGGGTGTAGCTCTACTATGCAAAAAAACACCCAACATATAAGCACGAACGTCACAGTTCACAACATGAGACCCGGTAGGTAGGGGGGTGGGGCTGGGACCCTGGTTTCCTCAGCGGGAGCAGCCTGTGTGGCGCTTGGCCAACTGAATGCACAGGTGGGAGGGAGGTCACGGGAAAGCACAGAGCACAGTGAGTGCCTCCAACTTGATGACCTCGGTGCGGAGACCACAATCTGAAGGCGGTGGGGTGGGTAGGGTTTTCACAGCATTTGTCTGCATTCCTTCCATCGTGGGGGTTGTTGCACACAACTCCAAGGCTGCTTATGGCGTCAGATTGGATAACAGAACTTTGTTTGGGTCAGGCAGAGATAATTTTCCTCTCTGCCTTAAAGTCTGTATTGATCGTTCAAGTCCTCCAGTGAAGCCAATTCGGGTGATTAAACATCTCCACACCGTCCGGTGACCCTCTCCGAGATGACATCCAATTTGCGCACTAACACCGGTAACGCAGCTAAGACATTGTCCAGCTTGCGATTCACTTCGAGTAACGTCCCAGTCTGTGAGGTCTCCGCCCGGACGGTGCCGTCCATGGATGCAGGTCGCCCTCCAATTGCTCCCGTCATCCCAATTTTACAGAAAACCAGATATCCTCCCACTCCAATCAGAAGAAATCCAGTGATCATCAGGCCAAATATCCACATATCTTCAACGTCCTCAATGGACAGCTGAGAGAGAGATGACATTCCACTTCTTCCAGGAATCGAGCATATATCCCGCTGCATGTGTCCCGTGAGGACAAGCGCGAGCCCCCTCCTCCGTTCTCATCGTAGAAAAAATCTTATCAATCGCGTTGAATGACCAATTAATTAAATCCATTTCTGAAAAATTGTGATTTCCAGAGGAAATGCAGAGAAGCGCTCTGTAGGCAGACGGGACAAAAAGAGCCTTGGGAAAAAGCAGATAAGGGAGCAAAGCAGAAGCGACCGTGCTCTGTGAGTGCTAGAAGAGAATTCATATATATATATATATATATATATATATATATATTTATATATGTGTGTGTGTGTGTATATATATATATATATATATATATATATATATATATATGTGTGTGTGTGTGTGTGTGTATATATATATATATATATTTACTCACCTAATGGATTATCAGGAACACCACACTAATACGGTGTTTGACCCCCTTTCACCTTCAGAACTGCCTTAATTCTACGTGGCTGTCATGTTCTGCGGGTGGAGGTGGCAGACCATGTGTGGTGGTGGGTTTCAGGAGGCAGAAGAGCAGGCAAACAGATGAAAAAATAAAAATATTTTTAATTGTAGAACGGGAGAGACAGGACAAACAAACATGCTCAAAACAACAATGATCCGACAAAGACAGCAACAAGGAGGGAGGTATAAATACACAAGGGAATCAGGAACACATAGGCAGAGTACTGAGGGACAGGTGAGAACAATAAGGTTAATCAAGGGCAGGAGAGACACAGTCAGGGAGGCCGGGGCGGATCATGACAGTATTCCCCCCCCCCCCCCCCTCCTTAAGGGGCGGATACCAGACGCCCACAAGCCACAAAGCACAGGAGACTCGGGAACGAACGAAGACCAGACTCGGGCACACATGACTAGGGAACACAGAAGACGTGACTAGGGAACAAAGAACTCAGTCTGGGGCTGCGGAGCAGGGGCCTCTCGGTTCAGGCGGCACAACTCCGACTTACGAAGGGTCTCTTGAGCTCAGACTAGGAAACTCGGACTCGAAGTCTTGGAACCAGGGAAACTCGGACTGGAACACTTGACTGGAACACTTGACTGGAACACTTGACTGGAACACTTGACTTGAACACTTGACTTGAACACTTGACTTGACACCAGGAACACTTGACTTGACACCAGGAACACTAAACAAACTGCAGCAGCAGGCGTGGGACCCAGCAAGAACTGCAGCAGCAGGCATAGGACCAAGAAGAAACTGCCGCGTGGAGGACCTGCAGGCATAGACCCTGCAGGAAATGGTTGAACAGCGGGAGTGACGCGAGGAAGCCCAGCTCGGCGGCAGGTAATCGACATCCAGTCAGAGTAGGTGCACATCCCGATTTGCTGGGTCCATCGGCGGAGGCTCGGGTGAAGGGAAGCAGGAGAAGAGCGGGGAGACCAGCCCTACCACCCCGGAGAACAATGGCGTGCGTAGGGGGTGTAACTCCCTTGAGGCTCCAGGAGCCGCAGCTTCCAGGAGAAGAACGGGACGGGGCGAAACAGCAGGAGGAGAATGACCCTGACCACCCCGAAGACAAATAGGATGCGCCAGGATCTCCCAGAGAACTTCGACCACCCCAAGAACAGGTAGGATGTGCCAAAAACACAAAACTCCAGGCCAGAAATCTCCCTCTGCTGAAAGGGACAAAAAAGAAAAAATAATCCTCCAGAAACAGAATGGTAAGCTCACCACAGGTCCAGGTTGGTCGGATCATTCTGTCATGTTCTGGGGTGGAGATGGTGGACCAAGTGTGGTGGAGGGTTCCGGAGGCAGATGAGCAAGCACGGATAAAGTAGAAATAGTTTAATTGTAGACTGGGAGCGACAGGACAAACGAACATGCACAAAACAACAATGATCCGGCCAAGACAGCAACAAGGAGGGAGGTATAAATACACAAGGGAATCAGGAACACACGGGCAGAGTACTGAGGGACAGGTGAGAACAATAAGGTTAATCAAGGGCAGGAGAGACACAGACAGGGAGGCCGGGCGGATCATGACAGACATTCAGTTTGGAGTTCAGGAGATTGTCTTGACCAGGAACCTAAATGCATTGAAGAAACTGCCATGTGATTGGTTGATGAGATAACTGCATTAAGGAGAAGTTGAACAGCTGTTCCTGATAATCCTGTAGGTACGTATATTTATATATCATCACATTTGTGTGTGTGTGTGTGTGTGTGTGTGTGTGTGTGTGTGTGTGTGTGTGTGTGTGTGTGTGTGTGTGTGTGTGTGTGTGTGTGTGTGTGTGTGTGTGTGTGTGTGTGTGTGTGTATGTGTGTAGATAGATAGATAGATAGATAGATAGATAGATAGATAGATAGATAGATAGATAGATAGATAGATAGATAGATGATAGATAGATAGATAGATAGATAGATAGATAGATAGATAGATAGATAGATAGATAGATAGATAGATAGATAGATAGATAGATAGATAGATAGATAGATAGATAGATAGATAGATAGATAGATAGATAGATAGATAGATAGATAGATAGATAGATAGATAGATAGATAGATGATAGATAGATAGATAGATAGATAGATAGATAGATAGATAGATAGATAGATAGATAGATAGATAGATGATAGATAGATAGATAGATAGATAGATAGATAGATAGATAGATGATAGATAGATAGATAGATAGATAGATAGATAGATAGATAGATAGATAGATAGATAGATAGATAGATAGATAGATAGATAGATAGATAGATAGATAGATAGATGATAGATAGATAGATAGATAGATAGATAGATAGATAGATAGATAGATAGATAGATAGATAGATAGATAGATAGATAGATAGATAGATAGATAGATAGATAGATAGATAGATAGATAGATAGATAGATAGATAGATAGATAGATAGATAGATACACACACACAAATGTGATGAGCTACAATATAGCCACAACTTCCCTTGGGCACACAATTGGCACCATCGCTCTCTCCAACCACCACCAGCAGGCATAGAGGGTGAAGTTATTTGCTCAAGTACACAACCACTGGCATGGACCGAGT